CTGAATAATTAAAATTACACGTGAAATCTCACGTGACACAATACAAATAAATTATAAAAACTAACGTGATACACTTCACGTTACAAACTTCAACTATTTCAACTAAATATTTACAAAACTTGCTACCCTACTAACTGTCCTTCTCCTAAACTGTCCCTCCTACTTCCCTTACTTCTTCTGCTGTTCTGTCCAAGTCGTAGCACCGTCTACCATCCACCGTCTCTGTCCACACCACCCGTTGTTGAACACGTCCTCCACAACCATACTCCTAATCCAGGTACCGTACATCTAGGCACGAACCTACACTTACACGATTATTTTCGTACACCTAGTTACGAACATAACTTACACAATTATCTCCGTACACCTAGTCACGAACATAACTTGCATAATTATCTCCGTACACCTAGTCACGAACATAACTTGCATAATTATCTCCGTACACCTAGTTACGAACATAACTTGCATAATTATCTCCGTACACCTAGTTACGAACGTAACTTACACAATTATCTCCGTACACCTAGTTACGAAATTCACATAAGTCACTGCAGACCGTCATATTTATAGATATGAAGTCAAATCATCTAGATTAAACCTTATCGGCACATGATAATTAAAAGTCAACTAAAGGCAAATCTAGGCATCAGGAGCGATGCTCTACCGGATTTAAAGGTGACTCCCACTCTACACTCTACTCTACTCCACGGTTCAACAACTAACTCCACCTCTCGCAAACTCTCCACTCTCCAGGGTAGCAAGCCCTCCTAAAAAAACACATACATCACTCAACCATATCAACCGACATTAATGACACCAGGCATACCCTAAGCACGGCCGGAGATAAGAAATGCAACGATGACTACCTTCCACAGGTTCCAGGTAGTCTGCAAAATATGACAACAATCGTCGTATCTGCCCGAGCAACAGATAACTGGCATCCCGTGACCAGCAATCCTCTAAAACCCAAGTTTTCTCTTTACCCTCTTCAATACAGCATTAATTCTTGATACCGGTCTAAAGTAATCCGGCCTCTTTAACTGAGCTCTATTTCTTAGAGAACGTCCTCCACTGACTACAGGCGTACTCTGTTCCTCAGGTAAGTAAGCTAGTGTACTGTTACTCTCCCCCAGCTCGACAGGACTTAAACTATCCTCTATCCCGGATGTAGGTTCCTCAACCCCTCTGCTCCACCCGGGTGTGTAGAAAGATCCAAAACTTGATCCCGTCTCCTGGATCGGTGATGAAATGTGAATCGGAGTGTTAACCCTATCTGGTGTCTGAGGGTCATGTTGGATTGAAATGTCCTGACTTTCCGTTCTGAAAGGAAGTGTATATTCCGGTGATAGAGGTACGTCAGGAATATCAATATTCTGACTAGACAAGGTACTCTCTTGAACCACAAAACTCCCTCTCTCCACTTGCTCAGGCATCCACAACTCCTCGTCACTACTGCTATCACTATCCCCACTATCACTTCTCACCGTGTCTCTCATTATCTCATTCTTCCAGCCATGTGCTCCATCACCGATTACTATCTCGCTCCCACTACTACACACTTTGTTGTTCTCTCCCATACCGCACATGACGTTATCTACGTCACTAATCACACCAAAACTATTCTCAGAGGATTCACTAACGGAATAAGCGTTGTGATCACGTGTAATATTACTAGAGGATTCACTAACGGCTGAAGCGTTGTGATCACGTGTAACATTAATGAAGGATTCACTAACGGCTGAAGCGTTGTGATCACGTGTAACATTACTGAAGGATTCACTAACGGCTGAAGCGTTGTGATCACGTGTAACATTAATGAAGGATTCACTAACGGCTGAAGCGTTGTGATCACGTGTAACATTACTGAAGGATTCACTAACGGCTGAAGCGTTGTGATCACGTGTAACATTACTGAAGGATTCACTAACGGCTGAAGCGTTGTGATCACGTGTAACATTACTGAAGGATTCACTAACGGATGAAGCGTTATAATCACATTCTACGTTACTAATACTATCTAACTCACTAATGGCTGAAGCGTTGTGACTCAGAATGGTATTGACACCCGCAGACCTGGTAAACTCCTCTCCTCCCGATCTCTCATCTAGAATGACCTCTGTCTGGCACGATGCTTCCGCAAAACTCCTTCTGAATGGAACTCTGCTTCGTCTGTCCTCCTCAGCATTAGACTTTGTCGCCTTTATCATGTTCAGCCCGTGACTCTCCAACAACTCATTCTGAGTCCATCTTTCACCACAGAACTTTTCTGCCTGACCCCTGTTCTCCTGAGCTTGTCTATCAATCGCAGTCCCTCTAACACCGATATCTTGACCTCTGATCCTCTGCACGCCGTGTATAAATTTCTTACCGCCTACAGGTTTCAATAGTGCGACGATCTTGTTTTTGCGGATCGTTATTTGCTCATCAGTAGAGTTAACACACTTTATCGGGACCAATATTTTATCAGAGTGCACAACTGCATGAGCGAATGAAATGCCCGTGTCCCCAATACCTTGCTTGTACTGTGGCTTAATCACACCTTTAAAATTCACTCCTTTCGCCTGTAACTTTCCCCTGATGTACTGCACCGTGTTAGGAGGAATAATTGTGACCTTGCTACATCTAACTTTTATCTGCTGCTTGACATTCTCCGGCTTCTCCGTGAATGGTACACTATCTCCATTAGTCAGCACCAGTCTGCACTTGCTGTAGTCCAGAGTTACCCTATTTTACCTCAAGAAATCATCTCCAATCAGGAATTCTGTGTCTAACAGATCAGTTACCACGAAGGTGTGTACAAATCTATTGCCAGCAACTACCACCTGTAGTTCTAACTCTCCCCTGATTTGTATCTTGTCTTGAGAAAATGACTTCAATTTTTTTTTATTTGAAAATTCAATTAATTATTATATATATAAATCAAGCGTTACATTTCAGCCATGCAAAATTACAATGACATATTTTGATATACTAATTGATAAATGGAACTGCAATATAAGTTGCTTAATGTTTGGCCGGATGACAACTAACTAAAAGAGAAAAATAAACTTGATTACATAATAATTAATTCGGCTGAACCAACACATAGCAAGAGCCACATTAACGTTGGGGCCGTCTAAAATGTCATGTCACATGGTCGGATCCCGCTCTCTAGTCTCAGTCCTCTCAAAAAACCCGTGGACACAATACTCACAGCCGACCCGCTGTCAACAAAAAGGTAGGCTGCCACTCCTCTGCAACTCCCAGCCACCAAGATGTGTTTCCAGTTCACCGCATTCACCTCCTTCTGCTTCCCAGATGATTTTAATTGCGACTGATGGGAAATGAATTTTGTCCAGTCGCACGCCCGTTTAAATGGTCTCTCTGCATTCCATGCTGTTCAGTCTCTGTGGGTCTGTACTGCCTACCTCGTCCTCCAGATCGCCCTCTGTCGACGTTGCAGAATCTTTGAATGTGACCCTCACCGTGACAATTATAACAGATCAACGGCCTGCGACTCTCTCCTCTACTCGCATCTCTACTCGCACCTCTACTCGCCCCTCTACTCACCTCTCTGCTACTCTGCTCAACCGGACTCACTCTACTCCTGCAAACACTGGCAACATGCCCTTTACCTTCACACAGCTGGCACACTATATTGCTCCAACACGAGTCAGCCTTGTGACCTTTCTTCCCACACATCTGACAGTCATTCTCATCCTTTTCTCTCTCACCTTGCCTGCCAACACCGTAAGTAGGTGTCGAGAATTCCAGTTTTGTCATCGGATCACTGTCCATATCTCCCTCTAATGCCTTGGATATGTGCTCCTCCTGTACAGCTAACCGGATCACGCTATCAAAATTCCTTGTCTCCGTGTTCATCTGAAGGAGCCGTCTCTTGATCGCAGGGTCTCTCACGCCCTGTATCAACACAGTGATACCTGCACTCTCTCTCTCCACAGCTCTCGGGTAGATCTTCTCAGCAGTGTCCTGTATTCTCTCTGCGAACTGCTCCACGCTCTCTAACGCTTCCTGTCTCATCTTGTGAAACGTTGTTCTCGTAATTCTCGCATCAGTAGCGGGATATAGCTCTCGTTTCACCGCACTGATCAGCATTTTCACGTCACCTCTCTCCTCACTCAACAGCCGAATGTTCTTGACTTTCTTGAACTTTGCATCGTCTTCTATCTGATTTGCAAGCCTCAAGTCTAGATTGTCCTTTACTCCGCATAACAGGACCCACTGCTCGAATCTCTGCAGAAATGTACAGAAGTCATCATTTTTCCTGTACCTCGGCGCCTTACATTTCATCGTGTACTCTCCCTTATCTCTCTCTGTATTTCCGGGTTGCAAATCACCCCTCACAGTTGTTCTCGCTATTTCTTGCAACACGTTGCTTGTTTTCTCCATCTTTACATCTCGTTCCCTCATCAATTCCTCTCGCTCAAGTTCTGCTTCCTCTCTCCACTTGATCATATCTCTCTCCAACTCTCTCACTCTGTTCAGACACTCCTCTCTCTTCTCGCTCAAATCAAACAACTCCACTTTGCTCTCTTTTATCTCCGTCTCTTTATCACTTGTGTCCCAAGACTTCATTTCCAATCTCACCTCCACAATCTGATCCACAATCCGTTTTTCCTCCTCTACTAGTTCCTTCATCTCCTGCTCCATGTTTGTGAGTCCAGACATAGTACCACTTTCCTAGGTTCTCCAGATAGTGTAAAATAAGATGGCACCAGACCAGTCCTCCCGAGGCGTACCGATGGTATACAGTGCCTGCTCACAAAGGTGTACTCACAATATACACTACTCACTCAGTCGTTGTAGCGACTGACAACTGCAATAACTCACAATAACTAAGTATTGAACTCTACGTTAATACGACAATCACGATAACTTGTATTGCCAATTACTCTGATATGACTACTACATACATGCAACTAAGTGCGGTACTGTGAATCAAACGGTTCAAATGCTACAATTCGGTCCTAAGCTAGAGTTGAACAAAGGAAACAGTTGAATCGAGTAATAACGTTCGAATGATGAATATAAAGATATTATCAACAATCACAACTTAAACTGTGGCAAGACGGGCCACGTTTGGCGTTCTAGATCAGCGGTTAACACTTTGATTAAACACGTCACCTAAAGAGCTTTTCCAGAACTAATCCTAACGTGTCCAGAAATGCGTTATCGACACGCGCCACGTGATACCACGTGGTCACTTAACTACCTAAAACTACACTCATTACTAACGGTCATAATAATCACTAAATTACAATCTACACAACTGCTAAAACTACTCTAAAACTGCTGCAACCAGCCTCCATATTACACTACTCTTCGCTCTAGTTCTTCTTCTCCCAAAATACCGGGTCCCCCTCTTCGCTCTAGTTCTTCTTCTCCCAAAATACCGGGTCCCCCTCTTCGCTCTAGTTCTTCTTCTCCCAAAATACCGGGTCCCCCTCTTCGCTCTAGTTCTTCTTCTCCCAAAATACCGGGTCCCCCTCTTCGCTCTAGTTCTTCTTCTCCCAAAATACCGGGTCCCCCTCTTCGCTCTAGTTCTTCTTCTCCCAAAATACCGGGTCCCCCTCTTCGCTCTAGTTCTTCTTCTCCCAAAATACCGGGTCCCCCTCTTCGCTCTAGTTCTTCTTCTCCCAAAATACCGGGTCCCCCTCTTCGCTCTAGTTCTTCTTCTCCCAAAATACCGGGTCCCCCTCTTCGCTCTAGTTCTTCTTCTCCCAAAATACCGGGTCCCCCTCTTCGCTCTAGTTCTTCTTCTCCCAAAATACCGGGTCCCCCTCTTCGCTCTAGTTCTTCTTCTCCCAAAATACCGGGTCCCCCTCTTCGCTCTAGTTCTTCTTCTCCCAAAATACCGGGTCCCCCTCTTCGCTCTAGTTCTTCTTCTCCCAAAATACCGGGTCCCCCTCTTCGCTCTAGTTCTTCTTCTCCCAAAATACCGGGTCCCCCTCTTCGCTCTAGTTCTTCTTCTCCCAAAATACCGGGTCCCCCTCTTCGCTCTAGTTCTTCTTCTCCCAAAATACCGGGTCCCCCTCTTCGCTCTAGTTCTTCTTCTCCCAAAATACCGGGTCCCCCTCTTCGCTCTAGTTCTTCTTCTCCCAAAATACCGGGTCCCCCTCTTCGCTCTAGTTCTTCTTCTCCCAAAATACCGGGTCCCCCTCTTCGCTCTAGTTCTTCTTCTCCCAAAATACCGGGTCCCCCTCTTCGCTCTAGTTCTTCTTCTCCCAAAATACCGGGTCCCCCTCTTCGCTCTAGTTCTTCTTCTCCCAAAATACCGGGTCCCCCTCTTCGCTCTAGTTCTTCTTCTCCCAAAATACCGGGTCCCCCTCTTCGCTCTAGTTCTTCTTCTCCCAAAATACCGGGTCCCCCTCTTCGCTCTAGTTCTTCTTCTCCCAAAATACCGGGTCCCCCTCTCGTCTCTAAAAGGGATGCTACTTCCGCCTGAAAAAATCAACGATCAAAGTTGATAAAAATCGTGAAGATAGCAATATTTAGTCATTTTAACAATCTTCCATCAATTTGGCCGTATCCCCACGTGTGCAACTTTTTTATTTTCAACTGTTAAACTAATTTAGTGTTGAACAGATGATAAAGTTTATTTTAATTTGAAACTCTTACCTCTTTCTTTACTAGTTTTACATTTGCCACGTTTTCGGGGTCTGCTACTTCCGTCTGAAAAAATTAACGATCATTAACATTATGCCAAGCTGTATGTCGGATTCGGGATGTGTCTCTTTTTTAGATCTTGACTAATTTCTAAAATAAACTCCATGTAAGATTAAAAACTTTATAGCAATTATAATAAAATATAACTCAAAACTAACGAAGATACCGATAATGAATCGAAAAATAAAGTTGATATCACTCTGTTTTCGTTTTTTTTTGTTGAAATAAAATCATAAACTGGTTTAAACTCTCACCTCACTGTTGAGGCTCCTGGCTGTGCCAGGAGCAAACAGGGCCACAAAGAAAGTGAGGAGCACTACTGTAGTTACAGCCATGACTGCTGAATTACATGTTTAGTTCATTATTTGGTCAGCTTTGCCGTTTTGCCCCGATTTTAACCTTTTAATTTTAAAAAGTACTCGAGCAAGTTAAATACTCGTATGTTTTTTATTTTATAAATTTATGTGACACCGTTTAAACGCCTATAAATGTTTCAAAGCTCGGCTTACTAAAACTAGTCCATCGTTATTCATCGGATTCAGGGCTTTAAAAATGTTAAAGTGATTAACCTTTATCAAAAGCAAATTGGTCACGTTAACGCAACTAGTGAACTTGACGTCGGGCACGGTATTCTACGAATTAAAAGAATTATTTTCTCCGTCTGTTAGTATTTTCACAGCGTCAAATTTCTTTTTTGTAATCGGAAAACGTATTTTCGAAAATAGAAAATATCACGATATTATTATGATATTATTCCAAAACAGATTTTTGGTCGCCTGTGAAACCGAATCGCCCACAAGTACACCATGCAGGATTGTATTTTCTATAAATGGGCAAACATACGCTGAGAGATCATGAAATTGCAGCACAAGAGTTTGAAATTGAATTAATAAGTACAAAATATAAAAAAACTGCAAAGGATGTTCAAAAATGTTGCCAAGTTGTAACGTTACAACTTGTTGCCAGGATGGTTGAGCGAGTACTGACTTACTGAGCAGTTGTAAGCTCTAAACTGCTCGCAGCATACTCTAAACAGACACTTCTTCATGATGCCTAAGATTGCAGATTCTCATGATGATCATTGATCATGAACTTTCCCCTATTCGCACACCGAATGGGTGTATAAACACATGATTATATAGATCACTCAATTCTTTTTGCTTATATGCAGTACATGTATATTGAAAATTACACGATGGAGTGCCCGGTACGTTGTTTTGTGACCTCAACAACTTGAGGGGGAAACATGGTTATTGTCCTTCTTACATAGTTATTCAACGGTTTTTACTAAATCCTCGTAATTCTTCGCATCATTTTGATTTATTAACATCAATTCTCAAATTATTTGTTATATAGTAGTGTTGAAAGTACTAAATATATATATAAGTGACTAGGCGAGTGGGCGGGCCGCAGCACTTTTTTTGTCGGAACCTATCTACAGTAACAACTATCTGTTTGGTCTACTGAGAAACCTTGTTTACTGTAGTTATGCTATTTTTGTAAAACAACGTACTAAAATAATGTTTTTGCATGGTGTCTAACAATGTAAGTGTAATCGGTACACTGGGTACAGTTCAGCAAATAACACAGAGGGGAGTCCCCCGGTTTCAGTTATATGGCTATAATTGTCCTGCCTGAGTTGTGAGCAGGACATGAAAGGAGATAAAATTAAACTTGGTCGGATTTTTAAAAATGTTGTACCATAAAATTTGTTATACTTATTTGGAATGATCAGTGAGTTCCGTCATAGTGCCATATTTAATGATGCGCGGATTTTGGAGCCAAAACAGCAGCTAATTTGAGAATTAACTTAATGTCTGATGATTGGATATGCTCCAAATTTTTCGGAAAGCTTCTTTTTAAGTGCTCAAAGGTGTCCACAAATTTTGCCTAGTTGTTACGTTACAACTTGGTGCCTGGATGGTTGAGCGTGTACTGACTTACTGAGTAGTTGTAAGCTCTAAACTGCTCGCAGCATACTTTGAACAGACACTTCTTCGTGATGCCTAAGATTGCAGATTCTCATGATGATGAACATTCCCTTATTCGCACACCGAATGGGTGTATAAACACATGATTATATAGATCACTCAATTCTTTTTGCTTTTATGGAGTACATGTATATTGAAAATTACACGATAGAGTGCCCGGTACGTTGTTTTGTGACCTCAACAACTTGAGGGGGAAACATGGTTATTGTCCTTCTTAAGCCCTTTGTATCATTTAGAAGACATAGTTATTCGGCGGAGTCTAAAAAGTGACTACCCGACTCACCATGATTATCGCTCATAGAACATATTATATCAATGACTTGCATTCAATTTTTTTAAATATTGATCCCATTAACTTCTTCAATACACAGGACTTAATACGTCCACAAGATAAAAACGTACCTTTAAAAAATGAAGACTGGATATCCACGCCCACCCTCAATAAAGAAGAAAAGAAGAACACCCAACATACAGGAACACTCTTCGGTCCCTCCTTTACTATCTTTATACTTTTATTATGGTTACTATTTTTCCATATTGTTATTTTTATACCCAGTCGGCTCAGTGTGTTTTGGTTCGGGCCTTGCTTGCTGGCCCTGCCATGGCTCTCTAGCTTAGGCAGGTTTGACTTATACATATATATATTTCATTGCTGAACTTCTACACAATAAAAAAAACTGTTTTGACTTTTGACTAGATCCTCGTAATTCTTCGCATCATTTATTAACATCAATTCTCAAATTATTTGTTATATAGTAGTGTTGAAAGTATTAAATATATATATAAGTGACTTGGCGAGTGGGCGGGCCACAGCACTTTTTTTTGTCGGAACCTATCTACAGTAACAACTGTCTGTTTGGTCTACTAAGAAACCTTGAGGTAGATTCATAAGCACTCAACAACTATGATGACGAAGTATCTCGCTGTCCTGCCTGTCAAAGAACTTACTGTAGTTATGTTATCTTTGTAAAACAACGTACTAAAATAATGTTTTTGCATGGTGTCTAACAATGTAAGTGTAATCGGTACACTGGGTACAGTTCAGCAAATAACACAGAGGGGAGTCCCCCGGTTTCATTAATATGGCTATAATTGTCCTGCCTGAGTTGTGAGCAGGACATGAAAGGAGATAAAATTAAACTTGGTCGGATTTTTAAAAATGTTGTACCATAAAATTTGTTATACTTATTTGGAATGATCAGTGAGTTCCGTCATAGTGCCATATTTAATGATGCGCGGATTTTGGAGCCAAAACAGCAGCTAATATGAGAATTAACTTAATGTCTGATGATTGGATATGCTCCAAATTTTTCGGAAAGCTTCTTTTTAAGTGCTCAAAGGTGTCCAAAAATGTTGCCTAGTTGTTACGTTACAACTTGGTGCCTGGATGATTGAGCGTAAGTACTGACTTACTGAGTAGTTTAAGCTCTAAACTGCTCGCAGCATACTCTAAACAGACACTTCTTCATGATGCCTAAGATTGCAGATTCTCATGATGATGAACGTTCCAGTATTTGCACACCGAATGGGTGTATAAACACATGATTATATAGATCACTCAATTCTTTTTGCTTTTATGGAGTACATGTATATTGAAAATTACACGATAGAGTGCCCGGTACGTTGTTTTGTGACCTCAACAACTTGAGGGGGAAACATGGTTATTGTCCTTCTTAAGCCCTTTGTATCATTTAGAAGACATAGTTATTCGGCGGAGTCTAAAAAGTGACTACCCGACTCACCATGATTATCGCTCATAGAACATATTATATCAATGACTTGCATTCAATTTTTTTAAATATTGATCCCATTAACTTCTTCAATACACAGGACTTAATACGTCCACAAGATAAAAACGTACCTTTAAAAAATGAAGACTGGATATCCACGCCCACCCTCAATAAAGAAGAAAAGAAGAACACCCAACATACAGGAACACTCTTCGGTCCCTCCTTTACTATCTTTATACTTTTATTATGGTTACTATTTTTCCATATTGTTATTTTTATACCCAGTCGGCTCAGTGTGTTTTGGTTCGGGCCTTGCTTGCTGGCCCTGCCATGGCTCTCTAGCTTAGGCAGGTTTGACTTATACATATATATATTTCATTGCTGAACTTCTACACAATAAAAAAGCTGTTTTGACTTTTGACTAGATCCTCGTAATTCTTCGCATCATTTATTAACATCAATTCTCAAATTATTTGTTATATAGTAGTGTTGAAAGTATTAAATATATATATAAGTGACTTGGCGAGTGGGCGGGCCACAGCACTTTTTTTTGTCGGAACCTATCTACAGTAACAACTGTCTGTTTGGTCTACTAAGAAACCTTGAGGTAGATTCATAAGCACTCAACAACTATGATGACGAAGTATCTCGCTGTCCTGCCTGTCAAAGAACTTACTGTAGTTATGTTATCTTTGTAAAACAACGTACTAAAATAATGTTTTTGCATGGTGTCTAACAATGTAAGTGTAATCGGTACACTGGGTACAGTTCAGCAAATAACACAGAGGGGAGTCCCCCGGTTTCATTAATATGGCTATAATTGTCCTGCCTGAGTTGTGAGCAGGACATGAAAGGAGATAAAATTAAACTTGGTCGGATTTTTAAAAATGTTGTACCATAAAATTTGTTATACTTATTTGGAATGATCAGTGAGTTCCGTCATAGTGCCATATTTAATGATGCGCGGATTTTGGAGCCAAAACAGCAGCTAATATGAGAATTAACTTAATGTCTGATGATTGGATATGCTCCAAATTTTTCGGAAAGCTTCTTTTTAAATGCTCAAAGGTGTCCAAAAATGTTGCCTAGTTGTAACGTTACAACTTGGTGCCTGGATGGTTGAGGGTGTACTGACTTACTGAGTAGTTGTAAGCTCTAAACTGCTCGCAGCATACTTTGAACAGACACTTCTTCGTGATGCCTAAGATTGCAGATTCTCATGATGATGAACATTCCCTTATTCGCACACCGAATGGGTGTATAAACACATCATTATATAGATCACTCAATTCTTTTTGCTTTTATGGAGTACATGTATATTGAAAATTACACGATAGAGTGCCCGGTACGTTGTTTTGTGACCTCAACAACTTGAGGGGGAAACATGGTTATTGTCCTTCTTAAGCCCTTTGTATCATTTAGAAGACATAGTTATTCGGCGGAGTCTAAAAAGTGACTACCCGACTCACCATGATTATCGCTCATAGAACATATTATATCAATGACTTGCATTCAATTTTTTTAAATATTGATCCCATTAACTTCTTCAATACACAGGACTTAATACGTCCACAAGATAAAAACGTACCTTTAAAAAATGAAGACTGGATATCCACGCCCACCCTCAATAAAGAAGAAAAGAAGAACACCCAACATACAGGAACACTCTTCGGTCCCTCCTTTACTATCTTTATACTTTTATTATGGTTACTATTTTTCCATATTGTTATTTTTATACCCAGTCGGCTCAGTGTGTTTTGGTTCGGGCCTTGCTTGCTGGCCCTGCCATGGCTCTCTAGCTTAGGCAGGTTTGACTTATACATATATATATTTCATTGCTGAACTTCTACACAATAAAAAAAACTGTTTTGACTTTTGACTAGATCCTCGTAATTCTTCGCATCATTTATTAACATCAATTCTCAAATTATTTGTTATATAGTAGTGTTGAAAGTATTAAATATATATATAAGTGACTTGGCGAGTGGGCGGGCCACAGCACTTTTTTTTGTCGGAACCTATCTACAGTAACAACTGTCTGTTTGGTCTACTAAGAAACCTTGAGGTAGATTCATAAGCACTCAACAACTATGATGACGAAATATCTCTCTGTCCTGCCTGTCAAAGAATTTACTGCAGTTATGCTATCTTTGTAAAACAACGTACTAAAATAATGTTTTTGCATGGTGTCTAACAATGTAAGTGTAATCGGTACACTGGGTACAGTTCAGCAAATAACACTGAGGGGAGTCCCCCGGTTTCAGTTATATGGCTATAATTGTCCTGCCTGAGTTGTGAGTAGGACATGAAAGGAGATAAAATTAAACTTGGTCGTATTTTTAAAAATGTTGTACCATAAAATTTGTTATACTTATTTGGAATGATCAGTGAGTTCCGTCATAATGCCATATTTAATGATGCGCGGTTTTTGGAGCCAAAACAGCAGCTAATTTGAGCATTAACTTAATGTCTGATGATTGGATATGCTCCAAATTTTTCGGAAAGCTTCTTTTTAAGTGCTCAAAGGTGTCCAAAAATGTTGCCTAGTTGTAACGTTACAACTTGGTGCCTGGATGGTTGAGGGTGTACTGACTTACTGAGTAGTTGTAAGCTCTAAACTGCTCGCAGCATACTTTGAACAGACAC